CATTTTGCGGAGTTTAACCACTCGGGTACCACCATTCTTGTCGCCACCAACTGGTTTTGTGACAGTAGCAGGAACTCTCTCCTTCTTTTTCTTTTCAATCCTGGACTTAGGGGCCGAATACTTCCTCTTGTACATGGCCTTTCTCGAATACATCGCCGACCGGGAGTATCTGCCAATTCCTCTGACGAGGACGGGGTTTCGGCTGCAGTGGGGCTTCCCCTTCTTAGGGGCCTTCACCTTGCCGCCGGCATCGGCCTTCTTCTTGGCTTCAGGTTTCTTCTCCTTAGTGTCAGGCTTCTTCTCCTTAGTATCGGGCTTCTTCTCCTTAGCATCCGGCTTCTCGGTTTTCTTTTCACCCGCCATCTTGCAAGATGGGAAAGAGCGGGAACCTGAACTTTAGTAATAATAGCTGGAACCATCCTAAGCAGCAGTGGGAGAAGAGATTTAATTTAGTTCATTTTCTGTGGTTATTGATTGTTCCCTAGTCTCACAGTGAAGGAGCTGCACATTTTTTTAAAGGGACTGCGAGGCTACTGGAGGTTTGGTTCTCCAGGCAGCAGCCTGACACAAATCAAGGATCTGGGAATCTTCGCACCATCCCAAGATCTAGTAGCACATACTTTTGAAGGATGTGCCATGTTCAATAATAAGTGTGCTTATGTGAGAGTAACATGTTTGTCTCCAAGAGACATTTCATTTTGAAGATATATGGTATCATCCTCTTGCTGAAAGCACTAGTTCCCCTGTTGAAACTTACTAGGGATCACAGTGGGTTGGACGCAATTTAAAGTTTCTTTTGTTCTGGTAAGAATTTCATGAAGCCTTCTCACCAAGGGTGCTGACACTGGAATTTCTGGGGGAAAATACAGCTTCTTATTGCAGTTTTCCCAAATGGAGCAGCACATTGTATGGAATGTATGACTTCTGATTGTGGTATACTTTGAATTTCCCAGAGAGTAGGGTTATTAGTCAGCCAGATCAAACTTTGAAAATTCTGATGAGTGAGCTTGACCCAGCAGTTATGGACCAGTTCTACATGAAAGATGGTGTTACTGCACAGGATGTCACTTGTTAGAGTGGAATTCATGACCTGATACCAGGTTCTGTCATTGATGCCACAATGTTCAGTCCTTGGGGGCACTCAGTGAATGGCATGGAATCGGATGGAACTTACTGGACTACTCACATCACTCCAGAACCAGAAGTTTCTTACGTTAGCTTTGAAACAAACTTAAGTCGGGCCTACTATGATGACCTGATCAGGAAGTCTTCAGGCCAGGAATATTTGTGACCATCTTGTTTGTGAACCAGAGTTCTAAATGGCACACAATGCTTTCTTCTCCCCAGAAGATTGAAGGTTTTAAATGTCTTGATTGTTAGAATGCTCCGTTCAATGATTACAACCTTGTTTTTACCAGTTTTGCTAAGAACTAGTAACAACAGCAGGGTTAAGAAAAAATGCAAAAAGAGAACACACATAGAAGAAGGTGTTGCTGCTTTTTAGATATTGATACTAGGGGCCATGCTTTCCATAGTCACCACCTTGTTGCAGAAAGCCCTAGACGCAATGATAGTGTAATCACTTTGAATTGAATACTTTATTATATCAAGGAGTTCGATACCTTGCCTGAATGCTCTCTCCTGTGTTTAAGTATCCTATGTCACTCTTGCTGTGAAATTGAAGTACATGTAGAAAAAAACTTTTACTGTATGAAACTTTATAACACTTGTGATAACAATTCAATTTGATTTATGCACAATGTAATATTTCTCCAAGTATCATCCAAAATTCCCCGAACACATGGCTTTCATCCCCCTTAGGTGTTGGCCTCAGCGTAATCATTTGGGACTGTTCTATTAAATTGCTGCCAGGATATTACATCCAGTTACCTCCAAATTCTAGAACATATTCTCTACTGATGTTGCTGAAACCAAATTCTACTTAATACAAATGTTTTTTTGCAACAGCAATTAAAGGTTTTCTTCCACGAGTTGAGTCCTCTTAAGAAAGTGATTGCAGTTATCCATTTTGTGTATTATTAACATTATTGCTTCCTGCACTTGTATTCCTTTACTTGATTTAGTTCCCCATCATGGTGTCTCCCCTTCCAGCCCCGCCCCAATAAAGTGATACACTGTTTTAAAAAGAATTGATTTAATGTAATTTCAGACTGATAGATGGGGTCAATGTTTATTGAACTCCATTACCTTTTATCTGTTGTTTTTCATTCAGATATTACTGAACTATATGCAGAGGGATTTAGCTTTTAATGTAATTTTGTAACAATTTAAATATTTTTTTCCTAATTTGTTAGATAATTTTGCACTTGAGAATTTTAATGTTTGGTCTTTTTGATATTTTGTATCAGTTTGTCCAGTTACAAAGTTGTATATTGAAGATCCGAGTCTTAATTTCTTAATTTTATGAAAGAAAATATCTTTTCATTTTGAAGGTATACATCAAGTTATTGGTACAGATTTTATAAGCTTCATTTAAAATTTTTTTTTTCATTGTATTTTAGGTAAAAGGATTGCTGAATCATCTCACTGAAGCAATAGCCTCACTATCTTTGCTTTCTAAACTGCATCAACAATGAAGCAATGATATCTGAGAACAAAAGAACATTTGCCAACTAAGTGTCATCACAATTCAAGTGACTGTATAAGCAGAAATAAGCTGCAACAGACCTGTGTGTCAGCTGGTATAAGGAGAATGCATTCTTGTGATGCTATTTATGTAGAAGCAGTTTTAGTATAGCACATTTAAATTATAACCTATACCAAATGAAATAAAAATGAGTGGATCCGCCAGATTCTTTGTTGGGCCTGAAGATACAGAAATCAACCCTGGTAATTATCGACGTTTCTTCCACCATGCCGATGAAGATGAGGAGGAGGAGGATGATTCTGTAAGTTGTTTGTTTTTTTGGTCAGAAAAGACCAATACAGGATAGATTTTTTTACTGATCATTATTAAGGTGAATTAATATTTTATCTGAAATTGTGAAGACTTTTTTTTTCATATAGAAATTTGTTGGGAATATTTTAAACTGAAAAAGTTTGTTTTATGAGTGACATTGAATTTATGGTGTGTCAAGAAATACAATTAGGGCTCAGACTTTTAAATTACTTAATGATTCCTATTATAGTGTCTTTCAGTGATATGCCTAGCACAACAAAGGACTAGGTTGAAAAAGTGGCATAAATCAAAAGGTTTTCTTTGTATGTAGAAATATATAACAAATACATCAAGATAAAGAAGGAAATAATTTCAAAGGTACCAAAGTAGGACTACTTAACCAGCTTAGGTTTGTCATGTTATCAACACAGGTGGTGATTGACCATAAGATATCCCTATTTATTAACTAATCAGAATTAAGTAAATTGTGTGGCTAGAAGGAGAGGCCACCTTACATATCTACAGATTGTGTGTGCATGTGTGTTTAAGTATGTACAAGCATGTGCAAGTTCTGTTCTCTTATCTGATCTATTAGAATGTTTATCCATGTTGGAACTTGAGGAATGTACATCCATGTTGGATCTTGAGGACACATTATTATGTTTGTTTTGCTATGGTTCCATTAGTTCAATATTATTCTTGTCATTGTGTTCTCTTTACAACTTGAGATTGCTTTACTCTGAGAACTGATTTAAAATACAAACTTATGTTTGTGTTTCTTATATTTCTAATTGGAAAAAATAATTTTGTCTTAAAACAAAAACCTGTTATACTTGGTAAAAGCAGTAAAAACAAACCAAAAATAGCTGTTAAATGACTCTTTAAATTCTTTCACAGTGCAGTTACACATAACTAAAATGCAAATCAGACTGTCACTCATTTAAAACCTATCCCACCACCCACCTCCAGAAAAAAATTATTTTCAAGCTTTCCTTACCAGCCAAAACTTTTCTTCCTCTGAAGTTTTATCTAGAAGGCCAGTAAATAAAACATAAAAACAGCTTCTCTGTCTGACTTAGACTGGAAAGAACTATTGACTCAGCTTCTACTACACTTAACCCTTTCTCTATAGAGTTCTGAACACACTGTGGACACCACTGGTAGATCAAGTCCAGCCTTACACATAAGGACTTTTTTTTTTTCACCTGTATCTAGACCTGTACTGTCTCTCATGCCTTTTACCTTTTGTGTTTTAGCAATGTCAAATTTATTTTCCACATATTCCATGTTGCATCATGCCTTTTTGCTGTTGTGTGCACTCCTTTGTCTCTATGAAATGCCTTTATTTGGGGTGCTTTGTGAACTGCTTTTCATTCTTCAAAACAATGCTCAGATTTCATGTTCACTCTTCCCCATCTCCTTGCTCTTTTTCCCCATGAGAAAATTGAACACTTCTTCCTTGATACTATTTCTATACCTTGACATATATACTTTTATTTCATGTATCATAATATTATTACTCTCTCCCCTATTAGACTCAAAGAACTTTGAGGACAGGTAGTTTTTATATGTCTAACTTTTCAGTGCTTAATATATAGTTCTTGGAATATTCGAACTAATTAAATTGTTTACAATCATGATGTGTAGTTGTCACTTTTGAGGAGCTTGATATGATTTATTTGACCTGTGGATTGATAAAAGTTTGTTTCAGATCATTCTTATGTTAAAATTTCAAAGAATTTCATTTAGACATTAAATCTAACTAAATAATTTAGACCTGTTTTAAAAATTATTTTCATTCTTCTAATAGGAAAATTCTGTTATTTTTTTCTTAATACAGGTTTATTTGTACATTTTAAACTATAATGTTTTCAGTTCATCTTAGGCAGTGATCAGCTATTCATTAAATTTATCTATAGTAAGCAAATAAAACTTACTAGCTTTTAATTTTTTAAACTGTAAAGCAGTATGCAATGTTAGGTGGAGCACTTTTGTTGTCTAAGAAATCTACTTTAGGAACATCTTAATGAGCTATGCCGAAGCTTTTCATCAGGAAAAAATTGAATAAGGGAACATTAAAGTGGATGATCACAAGTGAGAAAGACAGCAGATCCCAGGGCAGTTAGGATTTACAATCAAATCCAATATCAATTTGAATTTTATATGAATTAGAGCAATGAAGAAATACAATTCTAGGCTAAAAATACCAATTTAATTCTGATGTTATCCAGTTTTATTTTTAGAGTCCAGTAAAACTTTCTAGCTCTAGTATAATTTGAGCCCAGATTATAATGTCATATGAAATAAATAAAATGGAAGAGAGAGAAGAATTGCAATGAAAAACTGGACACAGCTCTCTTTATATATTTGATAAAACTCTAAGCACCTGAATGCAAAGGCCTCAGTGAATCTTAAGTAATTTTATAAACCTGTGAGCTACTCGTAAGTTACTATTTTTATTTTCTGCTTTTTTAGTTTCAGGCCAAATCATGGCCT